AAAAGGAGAACATCTGCCCACAGCCTGTACACTCCGTTTCTCCAGGTGGAAAACAGAGATAATTAACGCACATGAATGTTTCCAAGCGCTTTGAAATCCACAGTTGAAAAGTGCACAAAGAAGTAGCTTCATCCTCATTTTTACCTCAAGAGAAGAATTATTTGCACACGCAGTGCAATGCAGTGTTTTGGGAGCACCACTTCTCTTTGATGTAAACCCTTCGTTTGTCTGTACCATAAAGAAAGAGAGTCCAGAAGCCACACATGGGTAAGAGGGAAGAGAGTGCCTCGGAGTCAAAACCAGGGACAATAACTAAGGCTGGCACTTTGTTACACTGGGAAAGAGAGAGAGGGATGACAACCACTGTGTGAACACAGCTTTTTGTGTTCCTACTATGCTTGGTAGGGACAATCCATGCCACACCTTTCCTGAGGAAAATGGCTATAAAAAAAAAAAAAACACTTTCTCAGTTTTCCCCAAATTTTCTCTGCCCTAAAACCCAACTTTAAAAATTGTAAAAAGCTTTGATGAGAGCTATCTTTGACAAGTTTTCAGGAAGCCTTCCTGCAAGTAATACTGCCAAGGAATTTTGTTGTGTAAACACCATTTATGCTATCTGAAATACTTCTCCCTGGTGAAACTCCCATTTACTGACTTCTAAGCAGTCTCTTTCAAGAACCACAAATTTAATAACGCTTGGCTCCGAGGCTGGCAAGGCTTCAATGCCAGGCAGTCTGATTATTTTTTCCATGATTATTGGGAATATTCGCTTCAACAACAACAACAACAACAAAAATACACAGCCAGCATATGTCTCTCACAATCTCAGATCAAACTCTGCTTCTTCCCATATGCGCCCTTATCCAGCTGCAAACTCTTCGAAGCTCTGCCTCGAACCACTTGGATTATATTGTTATGTGGGGTCAATAATACAGCCTGTAGCAACTGGGGAATAAAAATATTGGCACAGCCTAAGGTAAATTGAATTGAAGATTTATAAAAAAAAAATATAAAAAAAAATCCAGTGGATATTGTTCAGATCACATTATTCATTTTCCTACACAATTCAATTAAGTAGAAAACTTTGCCTTTTCTTTTTAACTTACCAGATGGCACCTTAAGCGTTTATATTCTATGATACTTTAATGGAAAGACTGTGGGATTCGGGGCAGCACAACACACGTGCAATATTTAAAACACTTGAACATGCAAATGTTCAGATTCTATACAAATTCCTATCAGGTGATGTAAACTTTAATTTAAAATATTAGTAAATCTAACCTTGCCAGTCGGAAACACAAAGAGCTTTTTTTTTTTCCCCCATTTAGAAACGGGGAATGGAGACAGGAGTAAAGGTTAAACTCTTAACTTCTTGCACCAATATTACATTTAGCAGCTATGACAGGTGCAAGGCTGTACTTCACTAAATGCCATTATCCTGTCTCAGGCTAGAGCAGCCAGAAAGATTCATCCAGGATAATAACAGGTAAGAGAGAACTGCTGCAATCAACATCTACGGATCATGAGAAAGGAAAGAGAAGAAGAACAGGGAAGGGAAATGAAAGAAAGAAGGAAAAAAAGCAGAAAAGAGAGGGAAGAGAAAGGAAAAATCTCAACAAATAAACAGTGAGAGGTGAAAGAGGCAGGATTAGGAAAGTGAGACAGGCAGGGTGGAGAAAGGAGAAACAGATAAAACCTTCACTAATGGAAGCAGTGCTTTTCAGTAGACATTAATTTAACAGTTACTTTAATGGTTGATACTAGCTGTATGTCAACTTGATTGATGCGTTGTCACTTTGATAGTTAAGGTTATTGGTAGAGCGGCAGAATTGATGTATTATTACTTTAATTCTTCATTTGGGGGCTTTATTAGGGCATATGGGAATTTAAATTGAGTAACTAAAGAACCTGAATTGATTCACTGGGATCTGATCCCGGCGCAGACACATGGGTGCTCAGGGCAAAAAGAAAAGCCCTATGTGAAGGCATTTCAGAGGTTTCAAATACAAGGACTGGACTTTTAATGAGAATACCTTTTAATAAGAATACCTTTTAATGAGAATACCTATTTATACTGACAGAGCCATCCATGACATAACCTATAGGGAACCATTATGGAATGGCCATTAAGTTATTACACGCGTCCAGTTACAGCCTTTAACTTGCACGGTCTCCTCCTTTTTTTCCTGCCAATCCAGAGCCTACCTTAGGCTGAAAGCCCCGCAGGGCAAAGACAATGCCTATAAAATAACCAGGATGCAGTGGAATAAACCCATGCAAATGTTATTTAAGGAAATGTGATCCCTCCCGTTGGAAATCCGCAATTAGGTTTTCAAAAGGCGACCCACGGAACCTTTTCCCAAGCTTCTAACCTTATTTGTACGACGATACGGAAAAAGTCTTAAGAGTTGAAACATTCGTCCATGGCTGCCAAAGAGTCAGATTCCTTATTTGTTCTTGAAGAATCCAAATCCCTGGGTGAAAAACTCAACTGAAGCTGTAACGCACCAAAACCCTGGTAGTTTTGCTGTAACTTCTCCCAATCTCTTTGAACAAGAAAAAAATCTTAACAGTGCTCTCACACAAATGAGCTGCTTCTTGAAAGACTTTTCTATCCCACCCCAACACAACAGGTGTCCAACCCTTGCCATTCTGCCTTAGAAATGCCTCTCTTCTACATATCACATCTTTTCCCCCATGCATTAGATTTTTTTTTCCCCCACACACAATTTTACGTCTGCCGAAGATCCCCTATCAGTCATGTTTTAAAAAAACTTAAATTAAAATAACTGGTGTTAGATACTTTAAAAAGAGCAATCATTTAGCTAATTCATCTTTGAAAGGTTTCCCACCTAACTTGATTCAGACGTGATTTGCCTGCAAGGCAGCTCTAATAGGAAACAGCAAGTAGGAATTTGTAAAGTGGGTGCTTTAGGAAAGAACCTAGTGGGGACCCCAGATCACCTTAAACCACCAAAAAAAAACCCCAAAAACAAAGCAGAACTGAACTCTGGAACAGGCTTACTATTTACCTATTTGGGAAGAGGCAGAGGACAAGAATGTACTAGGCTCTACCTGCTTTAAAATAAGCATCACAAAGGAGGGGATGTGTGACTTTATTGTTGTTATATGTGCTAAAAAAAATAGCAAGGTTCTGCTGAGCTTCCTATTTATTTCAACTCGTTAAACAAATTAAGAATGTTCTACTGGGGTTGGGCAGGACAGGACGAAAAGCTTTTCATTTATGAGAAGAACCCTCCCACACATGCTTTTATCCAGTGCTAACAGAGTTAACAGGGTGCATTTTGGGAAACACAAGACATATTTAGTTAGCTTTTTAATGCCTGCAGGTTGATGTTTGGGCAGGACAGGACGAAAAGCTTTTCATTTATGAGAAGAACCCTCCCACACATGCTTTTATCCAGTGCTAACAGAGTTAACAGGGTGCATTTTGGGAAACACAAGACATATTTAGTTAGCTTTTTAATGCCTGCAGGTTGATGTTTTCCAGCTGTTTCAGACTGCGTACTTTTCTCTTTTTCCTGCTGGATGTAAACTGGGAATTTGGAATGCTCCTCCTTCATTGGACATCCAACCAGAGACTCTCACATGTGGTGTTTGAATGATTGGGCAGTGCAGCTCCTAAGTGTGTCTGGTCATGCAGAATTAAAGACCACTTTCCACCTGGAAAGCACGTACCAGGTTTCTGACCTGGTGGCAAGCTAAAAGCTGACAATGGACGAGAAGAAAACAGGCATCACTGCAGAATTTCCAGATTCTTTAGAGGCCAACATGCCTCTTACTACCCTCCTGCATCTAGATAGATGGCCAAAATACTCACAGGGTTCTTTGGATGTAATTCTCAGATCACTCTGAATCCCTTAGTCTGCACAAAACTTGGCTGAAGATTTGGCCAAACTTAGGAGTCTTCTAGCTTTTAGTAGGAATGCAAACTTTTTTATCAAGGTCTTGTAACAAACAACAGTCTTACAGTGCTGCTGCTGCTATGAATTAATTTCTGCTGAGAATTGTTATTAAATTGCATTCAAGTAACAAGAATTGCTGAATTTGTCCTGGCCCCTGTTGAGCCCTTCCATATCATCTCTTCCTTATAACAGGAATTACCTTGGGATAGAAAGAAACTATGCATCTTCATACAAGAATTGCTGAATTTGTCCGGGGCCTTCCATACCATCTCCTTCTTATAACAGGAATTCCCTTGGGATAGAAAGAAACTATGCATCTTCAGAGTTTGTATTACAGTAGTCATCGGCAATAAGGTTTAAAAACTAAAACCAGTCCTATCAGCTTGATAGGAATGATCAGATATCATTCCTATCTAAGCTCACTGAGAAGCAACACAGTCGTGAGCACAGGAATCACCTTCTGGATGTTTACAATTAATAGTATATTTGGGTCCACAAAGATCTTTAAACACTTCTATTGTGCACCTTAGTCAATATTCCTTTTCCTACAAGCACATACACAGAAATCTTAAAGAAAGGCCTCTATATTCCTTTTCCTACAAGCACATACACAGACTAAGGCACCCCTTGACCCGAAAGTGAACACTCCCTTTTCTCTCCTGTGATCACCTGATTTACCTGGAGCTCTGCTTGCTTGAAAATCCTTAAACATGAAAGCCCATATGTTATTTTTACAATGATAGTTCACGTTTTAAAAAACACAGTTTCATAGGCCGAGAAGTTTTTCCTCCATCACCGAATAAGGTTTTTTTGGTTCTACAACACATTTACATGCTGCTGACAAATTAGACCAAGTGGAAGTGTCTACTCACCAGAAATCAAAGGCATTGCCTCACACTGCTAAGTATATGCTTAGTTTCTCCTGCGTACCAGAAATCTTCTACGTCACCAACCGTGAGCCATCAGCAGCGTTGGCAGAAGAGCAGTCAGGCTTGTATTTTTATCCAGAGCCATCTAAGCAGTTATTTGTCAGTCTGTTTCTCATTGCTTTCTATTTACTCAAGCAGTACTTACCATCTTCAAAAATTTCTCCTATCTGGAACGATAATTCCGAGCTATGTTCTGCTTCGCATGGATAAACCGCTCTTGCTTTCCGGTGGGCAACGCTGAAAAACAAAATTATGGATTACAGTCTTTTTTTGACTATTAAAAAAACGCTCTCCTTTCTCAACCGTTCCCTCTCCATTCTCATTTGGAGGTGACCAGAACTTTAAACACGCTCTCACACGCATCATTACAGGCTAATAATTCATACACATAAATGCTGAAGCTTCACAGCTTCCTGTTGGCATTTCTGAATATCAAACTCCCAACTTTATGCACACTTATTTTTATGATCTTTAAAACTCAACTTTCAACTGCAGTTAAAATTTTGCCAAGTGCTAATCAGCAATTAAATCGATAGCAAGGCAAAGCATACCATACTTAATTTATAGACTAATCATCATTATCTCTTCTGAAATGTTTCTTCGTGAATCTTGCAGTTCAGCTTAATAGTAGGCAAAGCACACCATACTTAATTTATAGACTAATCATCATTATCTCTTCTGAAATGTTTCTTCGTGAATCTTGCAGTTCAGCTTTTTGCTATCGCTCTGCAGAATTTGCTCGATAGCAAGGCAAAGCATACCATACTTAATTTATAGACTAATCATCATTATCTCTTCTGAAATGTTTCTTCGTGAATCTTGCAGTTCAGCTTTTTGCTATCGCTCTGCAGAATTTGCTCTTTATATTTCTTTACAATACAACATTTTTAGGCTACTGAACATGCCGTTTTGTCCTAAACGCTGTAAGATTTCTAACATTTCAGGTTGAGGTGTTCTCAGGATGTTTAGCCACCAATATGAATTTGTCCAAAGTACTCGTTTCTCCACGTACCATACGCAGAGATCTTGGAATATATAAGTATTTTTGGCACATCTTGCTTAATCACGCCTTTGCAAGCTGACAGTTTGCTGCTGCCCAATGATGCTTTGTTTAGACACACCACCCACACCATTAAATCATCTTTTGTTGAGCCCAGGCAACAACAACTACACAGAAAAAAAAAAAAAAGATTCTCCTTGCCCCAAGAAACTTGCAGTCAAACATACAATGCAGTTCTGCTGCAAAATGTGACCAGTAATGAGAAACGGAATTTTCTTACCAAGTGTTGGAAAGAATTTATGAATATACTCAATTACTTTAATTAGAAAAATAAATAGAATAAAACTTCAAGGGAAAAGCTAAGATGGTGAAGACTTTCAAAGGAAAAAGGGAAAATATTTTAAAAGACAGACAACGACATGGAAGGAACCAAAAACAAGATGGAAGGAAAGCAGGCCAAAAGAGTGAAATAAACCCATGGAACCACAGAGACAGGCAAAGACATGGGAAGGTCTTTCAGAGGCAAGAAGACCAGGTCGAAATCTTAAATTTTACATGGGTGGCTATGGAAAAGAAAGAACCTGTGTTTTAAAACACCCTGTAGGAGAATCACTGCAGTAGAGAGACACTACGACTTGACCACCCAAATCAAAACCTGCTTGTATTAACCAACAAGCCACTGGCTCGATCTGGATGCTTTCTACAAGAAAGGTGTTCAAAGGAAAGATAAGTCAAAGTAGATGGTTATTTTATTCTGTCAAAATCACTAAGGTCGCATTTCTTGATTTGAGATAATCGTTCCCATACTGCAGAAGACGTGAATTAGCTATTTTTAAAAGTGTAAAGGAAACAAAAAAAAAAGGAGGCAAATAAATAACCAGCAGAAGTTGAAGTGCACATCATACCTTTCCACTGCTCTGTCACTCCCAGAGGCAGGGTTGGAGAAGAAGAAAGCGGATGGTACAGGATTTGTGGCCGCAGGGTTGGCAGTCGGAGTGTTCATCCACGAGACCATCGATGGGCGGCTTTGACCAGGACTAAAAAGAAGCATATTCAAGGCAGAATTAACAAGGTGAATAAAATTCCTTTTCATACCAAAATGTTTCAATCTTGAGAGAGGAAACACATTCAAGGCAGAATTAATGAGGTGAATAAAAATTTCTTTTCATACCAAAATGTTTCAATCTTGAGAACTAGTTAAATCCTCAAATTCAAAACCAATAACAACGTCGAGCTGCTTTTGGACATCATATGATTCTGCATTTCCTCCTGGAAAGTATTTCTCCTACAATGCCCTACATCCTCAGCTAAGACAAATTACCTGAGATGTATGACATAACCAATAAAAAGACAAAACTCCACATTCCTTATCTAATAAAGACAGATACAATGAAACTGCATATAGCAGGCTATTATTTGAGCTGCCACTTTGCCTTTACAAGTTTTGACGAATCTATTTAAAAAATCTTCTCAGTGCTGTACTAAGGCACGTATGGCTGGGAAGACTTTTAAAAAAAAAAAGAAAGGCTGCAGCTATTACAACATTGGGATCACGATGCTGGCTCTGGATTGAGATCTCTTTTGCATAACTGTGTAGATAACTGTTTCAATGGCTGCCCTCCACCAACACGCTGGTCAAATATGTATTAAATTAATGGCTGAACGCATAAGTTGCCACAAGAGGAGAAGAAATAGCTGCCAAAGGTGAAATTTTTATAAGTCATTGAAAAATATACAAAGTTCGGCCCAACATAAAGGACGTTCCCAATTTTGCACCTTGAAGAACTAGAAGGTTTGCTTTCACTACGTGGACAAAACAAATAGTCCAAATGCTTAATGTCGGCGTATCTTTGGAACAAAGAGCTGGACTTCCAGCAGTTTCTAAGGAGAAAGGGAATTGAAATGGTTCACACACAGCTTTCACACAGGAACCATCACTCCAAAGCACAGAATTAACAATACAGCATTTTATCAGTTGTTTCTAAGGAGAAAGGGAATTGAAGTTGTTCATACACAGCTTTCACACAGGAACCATCACTTAGAAGTACAGAATTAACAATACAGCATTTTATCAGTTGGTCTTATTCCAACATGAACCTCCTCATCAGCATAAACCTGCAAAATGCCACCCAAATCTAGGAATCCGGTCGAGAAAGTTTTTGCGGGGGTGGAAATGCACACCTAATCAAGGTGGATTGACCAAAAGCGAAAAAGGGATCAACAATCACCCCATTTATAATTGTAAATGAATACAAGAAAGCAGGAAACCTAATTTACAAAGCTCATTTTAATCTTCTTGTGCACCAAGATGTTTAATTTCCGGAAGAAGGATCACTAAGATGGTTTACAACTAAATTCAACTTTTACAAACTGCTTCTCCTAGCCAATATATCTCATAGGCATTCTAGCAATTACACTGTTAGGCAGACATTTATTTTGATTATTTATTCTTAAATTTAGTACATTATAAAATGGTGAACGGCACATTCCTTATTTAACACGACAACAGTTTTTCCTTTGGATCTGTCTCAGGCAACATTTGGATGAAAACTGGAATTCACAGCGTATGAAAACAGCATTCTGCAGTTAATTCCACTCATAAAAATGAAACTTAAATGTGCTGGAATCATAACCAGAAAGCTTTATCAAAACATGCTCTGCTTTTAAAAATCTCACATTTACCAAATAAAGGAAGGAACCGCATGTAGTAAACTGAAGGACAAGCTGGAGTGTGATGACTGGAAACATATTTCATTATTAACTTTGGGAAGGGGGACATCTAGTCTGCTTCCCCACTTCCAAATCTTCCACTACACCATTATTTACACCTTCCAATAATTACATACCTTTGAAGACGAGTACCTACATAATTTTGGGGTTTACTTTTACTTGAACTTGTCCCCTTCCCCCCATTTTTATCTCATCATTGAAAAAATTTCCTTCAGGTAAAGCAAAAACCTTCAGCTAAAAGTGACTTTGTTCAGAGAAGAAAAACAAAAATTGCACATCAGCATTTCTATTATTTTCTGTGAACACTAAGGATGAAAAATTCCTTGATGCTACTGTAAAGTTTATAAAGTTTGCTAGAAAGTAGATTATTTCTCCCTATGTTACTGAGTTAAAATTAATTCTGCACATAATGTATATTAATTTTAACTCAGTAACATAGAAGGTGAACCTAAAGTGAAAGATTTTCAAAAATTTTTTTAAAAAAGGTAACCTACTTGCACAGACTAAACTATTATAGTTAAGACAACATGACATTTAAATAAAACTAATTTTCCTTGTGCTCTTATTTATTCAATACAAATCAATTCCAACAATAAGACTGATGTCAGGCATGTATCTGAAACTATAAAACTACAGAAAATATTAAAATAATATTCCCAGTATATTGCCAGAAGAGTATTAAAATGTCTCTAATGCAAACTAATCACGAGTCAAGAATATTCTACCAAGGGCTCCTCTCCAGCGCATACTTCTGATGTGTTTTGTTTTATTTTCAACAAGTAAATAAGAAAATCTCCCATTTATTAAATATTTCATTGAAACGCATCATATTAACCTATGCAAGTTGATTAGCTCTAGAACAACACACGCATGTAAGAGACCTCATCACTCTCTACAACTACTTGAAAGGACACTGTAGAGAGGTTGGTGCTGGTCTCTTCTCACAGGTAATTAGTGACAGAACGAGAGGGAACGGCTTCAAGCTCCAACAGGGGAGGTTTAGATTGAACATTAGGAAAGAATTTTTCAGGATTAATGATTTGCAAGCAATACTCAGAAGAGAGAAGACAGGAAAGACACCCTCCGACCCAGGAAAGCAACGGTCATTTGTAAGAATAGTGGGAGTAAATGCCAGATGGTTTCTCACTGAGGCTTGGAGAGAAAAGAAAAAGGAAAAAAAAAAAAAGAGAGGAGGTGTGCTGGCGTGTTTATTTCTCAAGTTAGAGAGACTCAGTCTATCAACTCGTAAGACTACACTGTCCTTCACCAGGCAGCATGATTAACGATTTCAAAGCAATACTCAGAAGAGAGAAGACAGGAAAGACACCCTCCGACCCAGGAAAGCAACGGTCATTTGTAAGAATAGTGGGAGTAAATGCCAGATGGTTTCTCACTGAGGCTTGGAGAGAAAAGAAAAAGGAAAAAAAAAAAAAGAGAGGAGGTGTGCTGGCGTGTTTATTTCTCAAGTTAGAGAGACTCAGTCTATCAACTCGTAAGATTACACTGTCCTTCACCAGGCAGCATTATATAAAAGCATGTAAAAACTGGCGGGTTTTCTACCAATTGGGAACCACTCCAGCAGTTCTAGGGGAAAAACCACTCCAGAAGTGCAGGTACGTGGAGGGCTGGGCTGTTCCCTCCCCTGCTTTTTGATGAATTCCCTTAATAGATCTCAGCTGCAGGGAAAGCACCGCAGCACGGCTCCTGAAGTCGCCTGTCACCTCCAGCTCCCGGTTACCCAGCGAGACATCACCCTCTAGGATCCAGCAGGGGGGAAAAGGAAAAAAAAAAAACATTTTTCAATGGCAAAAGTGTCACCATGTTAAGGAGAAGAAGAAAAAAAAAAAAAAAAA